TTCCCTTCCCTTCCCTTCCCTTCCCTTCCCTTCCCCTGGCCTGAGCTACCAGGGAGGTCTGAGCCTCTCGTGTGTGTGCTGGAGGGTTGACCAGTTCCAGTGGCTGGTTGAGGTCAGCTGCAGCAAGAATTCAAGTTAAGAGAGGCAGTTATGTCTAAATACAGACAGTCTGGTGTCTTTGCAGCTGTAGCATGCCATATTTCAGAATTATTGAGAGATTTTGTTCCAACACTTCTTCCTCAGAAGTCCGACCCTGTATCTGCTGAAGTGTCGTACTCTGTTTTGAAGATGAGATGCATTTGGTACTTGTGCACGGCGGCAAAGCCAGCGGCACCAAATCACTGTCCAGTTTAGCGTTCTCAAATTTGAATTTTCCCAGAATTGCCTTCTTTCTTATCCTAAGTTTACTAACCTCTCTCCAACTTGGAAAACATCCTAGAATTAAAATAAACTCTGGGACATAATCCTGGAAGCAGTATACATCGTTGTGAGCACGTTTGGTTTGTAACTTAAGAAAATTATTTTTGTTTCTTTGGAAAATAGGAAGAAATAATCCCAAATATGAGTGTGACTGGTGATGAGGCCGCTGGCTTCAGCTGGTGAGAAATGGAGCTCTTCGGTTTGCACTGGCTGAGATCCTGCCCCCCAGGCTTTCAGTTTGACTGCTTTTGTTTTCAGCGTGTATTGATACAATTTATTGAAATTATGGTGTTGTCTTGACAGCCTTCAGTGTTTTGGTTTTTTTTTTTTCCCCCTCTCCATGCAAATAACACATTGTCTTCAGGGAACTGTTTATACAACCATGGAAGCATTTACTGTTTATCCTTCGGTTATTTATAGTAGTGAGTAATATTGAATCCTTCCTGCTTTCCCCCTCCCTACCCCTACCACGCATCAAGTTAGTTTAATGTCTAAATGCTGCTTTGATTAACAGCGTCTCTTACGCCTGACCGATCTCCCATTCGTTGTGCTTCCCTTACCAGTCCCGCAGTGTCGATAAGCAGCACGCCGTGATCAACTACGACAAGGAGAAGGATGAGCACTGGGTGAAGGATCTCGGCAGCTTGAATGGCGTAAGTAGCAAACCTCCTGGCTGATGGAAGCGAACACAGAGCATGCTGAGTCTGCAGGCACTCGTGCCCTCGCTTAATGCTACTGTTAGACCCTTTTGGGTCACTGCAGCTGTTGGCATGAGTTAAGCTAAACATCTATAATAATTTGTAAGGCCCGAGATGGAGGTCATGTTGCAGCTCATCTTCGAAGAGGAAAGCTTTGGTCAATACTGTGTTTCATTTTCCCTTTCTCCTGGCATCCTTGCAGAATGCTTTAGGGCTCGCAAAATCAAAGAGACTCTTGCAAAGAAAGAGACAGAAATCTCTTGCAAAAATCCTCGTTTTGGGGATGTTAACGTTAAACCAGTGAAGATTCTGCAGCAGCTGTTCAGCATGAGCAGGGTGACCTTTTGGCGATTAGTTTGTCAGTGCACAGAATGATTTATGGGCCGATGAGACATTTAATTTCTTTGAGGAGAAACTATTTAAAACCACCTCTTCTTCTGTAATAAAAACTGCTTTTCTGTCTGCATTGAGCCTGGTTTGCGTGAAGACTGAGGGGTAATGTGATCCCAGGACAGGGAGCTGAGCCTGCCTCAATCTTAACCCTTGCTCTGGTCCCAATTCATGCGGTGGTGTGAAGCAGCTCAGTGAGGGCTTTGTCTGCCCACCTGAATTCTGTGATTTTTAAATACACCATTGTAGTTAGAACTGTCCTAATGTCACAGCATGCCTCTTTTTTCAGCTGTTTCTTTGTACCAGTGGAGTTATTCCTCTGCTGGAGCAGATCTAAGCTAGATTCACATAACTATCTCCCCAGTAGGGGTTTTACTGCACTCATTGTTTTGGGCTTAGAAACAGAAGCCCTCTACCATCACAACCACGAAACCACAAGACGAACCCAGAAACTTGTACAAAAGCAGTGGCTAAAGCAGACCTCAACTTTTGTGCCTCTTCTGGCATCTGAAAACAGTGAGAATGAGTGCTAATCCTTCTCAGTCTAATAGCTGAAACCACAGAATCCTACTGAAATGGGAGTATTTCCAGTAACTGGAATCCCTGGTTCATATTAACTGTCGAAATGTTTTGTGTTTTTTTCATTATAATGTTAAGCTGATTCTGCAGTCTCTATAAAGAGTCTCTGGGTTTTGAAGGCAGCATTTCCATCTGCAGTAAGAAGTTTCCTTGGGTTATTTAAACTAACCATGGACAAATAGATAACATCATCAACATGTGTTTTCTTGCAGACTTCTGTTTTGCAGAAAGTTCAGCAAGTAATTATTCCTGTTCCAGGTCTGACTGTTGTGAGAATTTTACGTTCTCACAAATTTCATGCAAATAGGAATTCTGTGCCTTTTAACCAGCTTCACTGCTTTTATTCTGAAATCACAGGCCTGCTCTCCAGCTCTTCTGTAAAGTGCCGGGAAGCTGGGAGCTGTTGTCTGCTGGGGTTCTAGTTTCCTGTTCTAGCATTTCTTTTTCCCCTGTCATTAATACTTGGTCTTATCATGCGTGTTTGGTTTGGCCGAGGTGAGAAGGCAGAGGGAGAAGACTGTGCCTCAGTGAAAGCATCTACATTCATTTTCTAGTATGATTTTGATTCATCTGTGCATAGCTGCATTTGTACTGAGGCTACAAAGCCCAAGCGGCGAGTTCCTGGTCTGTGAGGTAGGGCAAGTCCTGATGCCGTGACTGCCTGGTGCAGCTGAGTGCCTCATCCCTGCTGGCACGCTCGTGCTGCTCCAGCTGAGGTCGTGATTCAATCTTATTTGGCCATGGTTATTGCAAAAATTACATGGGTTTCTTTGTGAAAGGTATCCAGGAGTGCTTGATTTGTTCCCCCGTTGTTCTGTGAGGATTGTTCCTTGAGGCGTCCCCTCTGAAAGTGGGCATCTCAGACATCTAAGATGTTTGTTCATGACTATGAAGTACATTTCTTGCACCTTTATATGATAACTTAGTTTCTTTGACCCTCAATTAACTCCTTGGGGCGCAGGAAAAATGAGGGGCCTGTTGTACTGGTATATGGTGTCTGAGGCCACGTTGTCCAAGACATCACGGTGATGCCACTGCAGATACTTGCTTTCCTGTGCATTTTCATTCCCCCCTACCTCTGAGATAGGCTTTGCCTGTTGAATCATCAGGCCTTGGGGATGACACCAGTCTTGTTTGACATCTAGTGGAGAGCTGAGCTGGGGCTCAGGAATTAGAGTACGAGAGGCACTGTTTGCTGCTCTTGCCGGTTGTGAAGGGTGGAGGAGAACCAAGACCATCTGAACTTCCTATGGAGTTTACGTGTTCAAGCAAGGGACACTCATTTCATTTGCAGTTGGTGGAAAGGTAGATCTCCCTAAAGGTCCCTTCAGAGCACCTTGCTTTGAAGCGTAATTGAGATGCTCTAACTTGCCCATGGGAGCTATTTGCTGTTGATTTTTTTAGGGAACTTAGTTCCTCGCCTGGCTGACTTTGTGCTAGTGCACCCCAAATGTGTGCCGTGCCGTTGGCAGATGGGGTTGGGTGCCCTCCGAGAGCCCCGTCTGTCTGAGATGCCTCACCTTGATACGCTCAGTCAAAAAACATCCCTGTGCTTCTTTCCTGCAGACGTTCGTCAATGATGTGAGGATTCCCGACCAGAAGTACATCACCCTAAAACTGAATGATGTCATTCGCTTCGGCTATGATATCCTTCTCGTCTGAAGAGGGGGTGCGATGCAGTCGTTGGTTGGGTTTTGTGCTGTTAGCTGCGTGGAGGGATAACGGTGCTAACTGGGACTGATGAGTGAGGGTGTTTGTTTTGCCTCCTGGAGCCTTTAGATGATTCAGGAGCTTTTGTTTCTTCACCATGGACCTGATTCGGAGCACATTAATCATGCCTGCTAATATCATTGGACTTTGAATCGGGTCCTGCACTGACAGTAGTGACTGTGGAGGCAGTAACTGTGGAGGTGCCTTTGTTTCTCCACCATGGACCTGATTCAGAGCACATTAATCATAATGCCTGCTACTATCATTGGACTTTGAATCGGGTCCTGCACTGACAGTAGTGACTGTGGAGGCAGTAACTGTGGAGGTGCCTCTTCAGGCTCTAAGGAAAGGCTGCATTTGTTTTCTTTTTGTTTGGGTGGCAACTGTAGCTAATACCAACCAGGGAGCAAACATATTTCATGTGCTTTTGTATGAACTAACAGCTTCCTGGGTTTTTTTCATCCAACTTGTTAATCGTTTCACCCAAATGCTTGCTTTCGGATAATTTGCAGGTCTTCAGCCTTAAACATTTAGCTTTGGGGCTCGTGGTCAGGCCCTTGACTCTGTATCGATTGAAGTTTGCCTGTGCAAATTGCTCCTGCCATGAAATGCAAGAGTAAATCTCTCTGTAGCGATAGCAACCTTCACCTCTATTGAGGGAGGCTACGCTGAAGTTACTGCTTGCTTTGCAGTCACAAATGCTGCTGGTGTCTGCTAAAACACCTTTGCCTGCATCCCTTTCCTTTTTCTCCTGACTGTATGACTGGCTGTAAGCATAGGTGCTGGAAAGCCTTTCTGAGCCTGCTGAGCAGCTGTGGTAAGTAGAGATTCTTATTGCTGCCTTTTTGTGTAATATAATCCTTTTTCTCACTTTTTTTTTCTCTCCCAGTTGCTTCTATCTGCCAAGCTTTACCCACTCAGGCTGAATTTAGCAGTATCAAGTGTCTTCTCCAGGTTTCTTTTTTCTTTTGCGGGGAAATTTCAGTTGAAACAGTCCAGACATTGCTGAGAATAGAGGCAGAGACTTAAGTTTTACCATTGGGGCTGGGGAGGAAGTGTTTGGGTGCAAACCCAAAGGCCACATTCTTGTGCTTTTGTTGTCCTCCTGATAACCAGTTTGCGCCTGGCCATGCTGTAGACCTTGAAATACTCCAAACCTTGCTGAAGCCCAGAGAGTGCTTTCTGATTTCTAGATGTGTGGGGAAACTTGAAGCTTTGCTGTCTAGTGAAGGCATGAGCCAGTGCCTAGAGCGTGAGCAGGTTTTACTGTCTGTGATACAGGTTTAAACTTTTTATAGAAAGCAGCTCTGAGCAGCTGAGTTGAAGTGTTCAGTCCTGCAGCCCTTACATGGATATTCATGTGAAGTGAGTGATTGCATTTATGAATTGTAGAACTTACTGCCCTCAACAGAAACACTTCAGAGAAGGTGGGGTTTAGACCTGTGTCTTGACTTCAGCGTGGCTGCTGTGGCAGTTACGGTCTCTCCCCCTTCTTTGCTGGTTCAGTGGTGCTCTCTCCAGCAGTGCTTTCTGCACGCACCACGTTCAGCTCGGTGTGGACAGCAGCACCTCCTGAGGTCTCGGAGGCAGCTATGCGCTGTTGCATAAAAGCGTTTGTCTCTTTTCCATTTACAGTTTCACTTGCAGGCTCTGTGGAGTTTCCCTGCTATGCCAATATCACTTGGTTTATTTTTAGTCTAACATTTTTCATCTTTCCTTTTTCCTGCCCTTTGCTCTGTGCTGGCCTGATTGGGTTCTTCATGATGACATTGCCAGATGCTTCGTGTTTTTTTTTCCTCCACCCAATGTCACTGAGGATTATTGCCTAGGCTCCACCACGTTGAATGCCTCCCTTCCTAAGAGGTCACGGCAGCTCATGACCTGATTTACTTTTCAGCCAGGAAACTGCAGTGGCTGAAAGGCTTTGTCGGGGCAAGACAGCACAATAGTTCTGAGTGTCGCTGCAGGGAGCTGAACTCTTCCATTCCCAGGTCCCCAGTGTGTAAGGCTGCCCCATCTTGGCCAGGATACTATGGGGGGAGAGAGGTCTGTCTGGAGCTGGCAGCTGGGTGGAGAGGAGTGGGGTGTGAGTCGAGTCAGGGCTCTGATTGCTTCCCTGGGTCCTGCACAGAGCTGCTGGTGCTCCCCCAAGGTTCTCCTGCCCTGGTCCATGCTCTGTTGCAAAACGGGCACTGCAGACCACGGTGGAATGCAGCACTGGCAACTTGCAGTGCTCTGTGAATTTTAAGCTTCTCTGGATTTATGGTCTTATTTTCTTTCTGTCACTAAATGCTAAATGTCTTTGTCTATCTGATCCCTTTACCATTTCCTTAACGAGTTCTGTACATTCAAACATGTATGTCCTGGAGCAGATTCAACACAAAGTCCCAGAAGAAGCATTAAAGGTAAGGGTATCTGGATGCAGGTGCTCTTTTATTTACTTTTAAGTGCTCTAGTAATGGTCTGGCAGTCTGAAGAATTAAAATACTCTTGATGGCAGTGAAACTGTTCTACAATGTGAGGCTTTCCTTGGATTGGGACTTAATGAACCCTTCCTTTGAAGAGAGAGACATTTCCCAGTTATCTCAGCTCTGATCTCTCTTATCCCTGTGCTAACATGTAGATGAAGTTATTTACAGTTTTGTGACTGCCAAGAAGAAATGTTTCTAAAGCTGTACAGTATGAAAGAACAGTCAGCACATCAGCTTGGGGGTGAAGCAGAACTTGTTCCTCCCCAGAAGGAGAGCACAACTGCCTGTCTCTGAGCATGGTGACTTAGGTCAGCTCCATCACGCTTCCCCCAGCAGGCTAAAGTTTGTTTAATTTATTCCTGTGAATCGTCTCATTTCTGCCTTCAAGCTCCCTGTTTTTACTTACTGAGCAGTCCTCAGTGAGGTGTTTTTTAAACAGAGTTCAGTAGCAGGTACAAAATATTTAAGTACCCTCTTATCTAAGGCAGAAAAGCAAACCCTCCAGGCAGGAAAGCTGCCATGTTCAGCTGAGGGACTCGGCTGTCACTGCCGAGCATCACCCCTTGGCTGGCAGATGCTGTCTTCTTGGCCCTGCTTCCATGTTTAGGGCTTGGAAAGTACTGGAAATGTAACAGCTGCAATTGGCCAAATGATTCATTGAACTTGCTCAGGGAAATCTGGATGGGTTACGCCCTTTGATGAATTTACTTGTAATAAACCCACTTTTAAATAGTTCATTTACTATGTTAATGTGGAGCCTGTTCTAAGCCAGAGTCACTTTGCTAGCTGGTGAGTTTGGAGGGAAAGAATTAAAATAAATTTTAATTGCCTTTGCTGAAAAATTGAGATAATGCAGATGAGCACCCTGAAAGAATTTATGATGTTGCTTTAAGAATAAAGGAGATTTCTCAGGATTTAAATCCTGAATAGAAAATGTCCTGAGTTCTGATTCTTCTCAGTTTAGTTTTTAAAGGATTTCCTAATTAGCTGTTTTGCAGAGCTAAGTCACAGTGACCTCATGGACTAGAATTGTCACTTAGTGTTTTCCAGTGGGGTATCTGAAAGCCTCTCAGCTGACAGCCTCTGCTCAAAGGGGCTTGCTTTTTGTGGCAGAGCATAGTCACAGTGTTTGCCTTTGCGAGATCCGTTTGTGGGGAAGGGTGGTTTAACTTTTCCATGGGCTTGCACACGGATTGCATGGGCGCCCTGCGACTGTTTGCTTGTGTCTCTCCAGCATGAGAAGTACACCAGCCAACTTCAGATGAATTACAAGGGCTCAGCAATGAAGAGGGCGGAGCAGCCCATGGAGCACGGTGTCTACACTGAGTCCCCACAAGCAAAGCTGGAGAAAGGAGAGAGGAAAGCAATTACAGGTACTTGCTGGGGAACCGGTTAATCAAGATTCAGAACAGTGTGCAGCTTGAAAGCCCTTCGTTGGGTCAAGATCAAGTACAGAGTCTGGGCTGCATCTAGAAGCAGCTCCAGAAGGGTCATCTTTCTAAACCTGTGAGTATTTCAGACTCAGTTTTTTGGAGATTTGGTCTCCTGAAAAAAAAAACCCAGCTGGCATAATGGCTCACACATGCCTTGTCGCTCTGTGTGTGCTGGAGAACGTGTGGGCCGAGCAGGTTTGGTAAGTTCTTTGGCACTTGTCTGGTCTATTTTTAATTTCCTAATCATGAGGTGGTATTTGAACAGAGATGGTGACTCAGAGTGGAAAATGCATGGCTGCTGTGGCGTGGTGCTGGCAGGCAAGCAAAGCAGAGACAAACCATTTCTTTCTGAAAGCCCTCTATGGTCTTAAGCTGTATTTCCTAACATGCCAGTAAGTGGGATTGAAACGACCAAAGTTGGGAGATGTTTACTTCAGGTTCACTCTTCCCTGGCTGCAAATCTTTTCAATTTGAAAAATTGCTTGTGTTCTTCATTTCTTTACCCACTGCTGTCTTCCTTTCAAGACCCCTTTGTTATTGACTCTTCCTTTCAGGACCCTTCCTGTTCCCCACCATGGTGGGCCAAGACCTTCCCAGCAGTCTTGTCTCACCCATCTGAGGTTCCTACCTCCTCTAGGTACTGCCGTGGCAGGTCTCCCCCAGTTCTGTTTAGATATTTGTTGGTGGCCTTCTAGAAAATATGGTTCTAAAGCATCCCAGTGTTAGATGACTGCCAGTGGTGGCCTTGTGGCACCAGGATGGCAGAGCGATTGGAAGGCTTTAGGGTTAGCAGAGACACTGTTGAAGGAAGGAGCAGAGTGGTGAATGCAGGGAAGGGGATTGGCAAATAAGAGTGAAACAGCATCTTGGGCGATTTGACCTAAAGATAGGTACAGCAGCTTTCTAGAAATGTATGCAACTTTGAGTAAATCCGTTAAGGCTTCGTGATTACTAATTGGAGTGGCTTGGCTGACCTTAATCTCCCATATATTGTCTTTAGGAAAATCTCTCTAAGCTGACACTACTAAAACAGTGTAGTTTTTCTCCCTGGTCTTCCTGTTTCCTCCAGCTGTGCATGGAAGCACATGCACATGTACCTGTGTGCCCAATTCCCGTTTTCCACACCACAAAATCTTCCTTTGCGTTGCTTTAGCTGTGTCTGCGTGTTACCCTCTTCTGTGGATGTGGCATTTGTGACTTCGCCTCACAAACAGGCAGTTAAAGGGATGAAGTTGGTGATGATTGACCGTGACACTGCAGAGGATGAGAAGAGGTGAACCTCACTGGGAGGAGAGCTCCCCAGCTGCCTTGCAAGAGGCGCAAGGTTCTTGAAGAGCATTGCCAGCAACTGGGCCGGTTTGCCAGTAATCAGAACCAGTTTGCCTTTGCTGCTGCCTGCTCACATGAACATTCTAATTTTTATTCCTGACACCTTCCAGAATACACACTGCTTGCTTTTAACCTACATATCACAAGCGGTTGATATGTGGAGCATCTTCAAAGTCAGAACGTGGAGTGACTCTTCAGCAAGGTGACCTGTTTCTGCAGCACACGGTTTGTAGACCTGCAGTGTGTTTGTCATCGCTGGTGGGCACAGACCATAGGTCTCAGGCAAAAAGGGCTGTGAGTTCTTACTGGGGGCCACTACTGAAGTATGTCACTTGCAGCAGGACTGATGGACGGATGTGGAAAACGTCTCTAAGTGCTGCTAAACCCCCTGAAAGATGGAGGAATTCAGGACTTTAGGTTGGAAGTCTTTTGCTGGATTGGACTGGAGCCTGTGGAAGCAAGGGAGGGAGTCTGAGCGTTAAATCAGCACCTCATTCTCCAAAAAGCATCTCTGTCCCGTGAGCAGAATGATCAGTGGGTCCCTTTCTCATCTGCGATGTGAGTAATTCACCTTGTCTTCAGCTGCACACATGCACGGTTTCTCCTTGATTGCTCAGAGGAGTGGCAGCAATTTAAAATGATTAGTGGAAAGAAGAATGTAGTATTCTTACGGAGAATGGGCTTGCTTAGTGGCAGCAGAAAGAGGCTTTGGGGAAAGAGCTGTTTTCCTAAGCCTGTAGGTATTTAGGAATTTGCATTGACTAATTAAAGCAAGATCTGGGGTGACAAAAGCCTTTAGAAAGATCACTTCCCAGGGTGGAAAAGAGGCAGAGGGAATGCAGGCTTTCAGGGAAGAGGTTTAACAAAACAATGGGAACAATTAGAGCTGCTTAGAAATGAGAGGAGGTGAGGGGCTGAGGATAAAGAGCTCCAGTGGAGTGAATAGGAAACAGCCAGTTAGTCTTTGTGCTGTTGAACTTGCAGCTTTTGGGTGCGTGTTGCCTGTAAGCAGAAAATGATCAGTCTTTGTGAAATGTTTGCAGCAGGGAGGTTGGTAAGCCCTAGGGGTTGGATATAGATATGAATAAGAGAAGTGCCCGCAGTTCAGCTAGTTAATGCTAAAAATAACCGTCAGCGCTCTCGTTTAAAGCCTTGCATGATCAGGAGGCCAGGTACAGCCTTAAACTGAGCGGGTTTTAAGACTGTCACAATCCCCATCTGTTGCTACCTGAGTGGAGGTACTGGATGAGATAAGCTACTTTGTGGTCTTCTGTTTCAGCACATACTTAATCCTCAGGCTCATCTTGATTATTTTTTTTTTAAATTTAATTTTTTTAAGGCCCTCACAGGCTATTGAGAGTAGATAATGCCGAGTCTGAGGACTAACCTCTGAATAACTGCTGCAGGCCTGACTTTGCAGAGGTGGAGGCTGCCTGCAGCATCCAGCTGAAGTGGATATCGCCGACTGCAGGAGCAGGACTTGAGCTTCTCCCGAGCTCTGTGAAACAGTCTTGCTCGCCAGGTTGGTGTCTGTGTCATTAGGGAGGGAGTCCTCTCAGCAGAGTGGCCGACTGGAAAGTCTCGTTGGTGTCCGGGGCTGAGGGCAGCAGGCAGCGTGGATGGAGGCAGTGGGAGCTGTGCCCAGTCGTGGAGTGGTTTCCATGGTCTTTGGCTGCCTTCCCCATGAGATCATGGTAATAGCTATTTAGATGCACAGCTCTACCCTAGCCTTTAATTTAGGGGAGTGGTGGTGGTGTATCTGCTTTTTGTCTGAGCGAGGGTTGTGATACCTGCAGCGTGTTAAAGGTTTGACCACGATACAAATAAATTTGTGATTATCAGCCTGATTTGAAAGCCTCTGGCATCTGTGAATGTTCACAGCAGGTACAAAAGACCAGGTCTTAGGTTTGCCACGCACACGTGAAATCAATACTGCAGCAGAGAGTCAGAGAATTGCTTTATGGTTATTCCTATTGGATCTGAATTCTCTATTTTGAGTTAAAAAGCAGAGATGTAAGGAATTAATTGTAAAACGTTATAGTAAGATGATATTTTTTTCCCCAGGGCCTCTGCTGTAAGAAGCCTACTCTGCATCTTCTGAAGATGGACATTATTGTTATTAATAATGAATCAAAAACGGTTGGACTGAAAGCTAGCTGGGTTTCTCGTGCTTTAGTTATGACTTGCTGTAGACAGCTTCAAAGCTATGCGTGCTTCTGTCAGCAGAGAAATTTGCTCTTGCTGTCTGTCTCTCCTGTGATGATTTGCAGCTTTGTGAGGACGTGGGCAAAGTGCGGACCTCATCCTGTCCTGACCACGGGGGGATTCCTTCAAGGGAAATCAGACCCCTCGGTGTGGGAGCTGCCTGCTCATCGTGAGAGCTCTACTGCCCGGTTGCTGATAGAAAGCATTAATGCAGGCTTTCTCCTTTCCCTGTCATCACCTGGACTGTCATTTTTGGTCCTGCCCTTGCGTTGTTCTATGTGATTCACTTCTCCATAGACACATCCCTTGTCTTCATACATCTCATTTTCTCTTGATGTGGTGCCTCTCCTTCAGGTGATCAGTAGTTTTGTATTAATTTAGCTGGCCGCATCGTTGTTAGACGTCTTAAACAAATGGACCTTGCCTGTTCTGCGCTAAAACAGCCTTTGTTTTTTCTCTTGAGCGATGGCCCCGAAGACTGAAATCCAGGAGCAGAACACACGCATGTCAGTGATCTTCCCTGTACTACACTGTCACCGATAGCTCAGTGGTTTTTTGGCTGAATGCTTGTGCTGACCTCAATTGGGTTATCTAAAAGGATGGTTTTCGGGCTGTCTGCCTGAATTGATGAGCCAAGAAATATGTCTAAATGAATTGGCACCATCTGGGTAGCCTGGCATGCAGTGGAGAGAATTGGTAACGAGCTGCCATCAGTTGGAGGAAGTCTCATGTCATTAAAACGAGTGAGCAGTTTGTTTGCATTGGTGCTCCTCGCTTCGCTGCTGACTCGGGCAAGCCCTGGGTCTCTCTGCTCTTGCAAGAGCTTCCACCTTACACTAAAATAGACCAGACAGGCTGTGGCTTCAGGGTGGTGTGCGTGTCTGGGGACACAGGCAGACATGCTGCTCTGGATGCTGTGAGTCCAAGGTGAGGTTGCTACCCAAAATGTATCCCAGCTGTTAAAGAACAAAGCCCCCTGGCACAACCGCATACGTAGCTGCTCCCTGGCCCGCTTCTGTCACAGCCATCTGGTTTAGCTGCCTTCCTATCGTGCTTTTTTTCCCCACCCTCCCCATTTGTATGTAATATTGTTGTGTTAAAGCTGGCGTGGGAAGAGGCATCAGGTCGGTCGTGCTGGCAAACGAGAAGAGACAGAAGCTTCTGATGTGAGCAGGGCAGCAAATTCCTGTAGCTCTTCTGAAATCGGGGAAATTTTCCTCTGACTGAGGATCTGGCCGCTTTCAGCAGTAGCTGAGAATGAGGGTGTCTGTGTCATTAGATAATGTTTTCCAAAATGCAAATTAATATGAAGGCTCAGTGGAAACATTGATCGCTCTTAAAATATCGAAACTGTCCCCAAATAACAAGATACTGACTCCTTGGCTTTCCATCTGTGCTGTTTGCAGTCCTCAAAATGAAGTTCCAGTTTATTGTGGAGACTGAGGTAGAAGGGATGAAAAATAACCCACAGAAGTGAGCAGATGTGCTACCCGTGCTGTAAGGGAGTGCTGCAGGTGGGGCCGTGTGAGCTCTGTGTGTGGGGCAGGAGGGACCTCGTGGCACCATGCAGTGAGTGCTGCGAAGCAGCCCTTGCCCTGGTGGCCCCAGGTCTGTGTGCTCTGGCCAAGCTGATGGGCTCTCTGTAGGTGCTCCTTGACATGCCCTGGGATTCTGGCTTTGTGCTCGCTTTTGTCAGAGAGGGAATTTGGGGAGTTTCCAAGCTCTCTTAGCTCACCTCTACCCTTTTGAAAACAAAATTTTCTAGAACAGGTAACTAGGTTCTAGAATAGGGGGCCTTTGGGATCCTGTGAGGCGCTGGGATGTGCTGGAGAGATGAGCTGTGATGAGGCAACTCCTTGCAAGGTGGCAGTAGTAACAGCACCCATCCTTGGGAAAGGTGCTGCTTGTGCAAGGGTTGAGTGTGAGGCGGTCTTTGCTTCTCATCCATAGGGTAGTATGCTCAGGATTTCTTCCGCGAGCACCTTAGAATAAACTACTGATGTGCTTTTATAATTGACTGTATTAATCTGAGACAAATGTCCAAAATCTCATGTGTTTCTTCAGGGTGGAGCCCCTTCACTATGCCCCGTTCATGTTTAGGCATGGATACTCCAGACATAGTCTGGGTCCAGTTCTGGGCCCCTCAGTTCAAGAAGGACAGGAACTGCTGGAGAGAGTCCAGTGTAGGGCTACAAAGATGATGGAGGGAGTGGAGCATCTCCCTTCTGAGGAGCGGCTGAGGGAGCTGGGGCTCTTTAGTTTGCAGAAGAGGAGACTGAGGGGAGACCTCATTCATGTTTAGAAATATTGAAAGGGTGAGTGTCACGAGGATGGAGCCAGGCTCTTCTCGGTGACAAACAATGATAGGACAAGGGGTAACGGACACAAACTGGAACACAGGAGGTTCCACTTCAATTGGAGAAGAAACTTCTTCTCAGTGAGGGTGACAGAGCCCTGGCCCAGGCTGCCCAGAGAGGTTGGGGAGTCTCCTTCTCTGCAGACATTCAAAACCCGCCTGGACGCCTTCCTGTGTAACCTCATCTGGGTGTTCCTGCTCCGGCAGGGGGATTGGACTGGATGAGCTTTGGAGGGCCCTTCCAATCCCTGACGGTCTGGGATTCTGTGATTCCTGGCTGCTTTTAATGGATTTGTCCATCACCCCAGAGTCTTGTTCTCCTCTTCCCGGCCCTGCCTGCCTCTTGGCCATCAACACCAAGGTCAATGCTGCAATTCACAGGGTGATAATCCACTGCAGTGTGCGCCCAAAAGAGATCCCTGCTGGCAAAGCAGATCCTGCGTGGCTGGGGTCTAGAGGGCACGTCATGGTGTGAAGAGAGAGCGGCAGGTTTCTGCTAGGCTGTGTGACAGAAGGTGTCAGCCTAGCAGAGACAACCCCACATTTGGATGCTTCTGTTCATTGACAAGCTTGTGAATAGATTGGTTTTTTTTTCCTTTTTCCTTGTTTTATTCTTTCTCTCTCCCTTGAGTGGTTTGCCCATCCTCAGTTATGAGATGCATTGCTTGGCAATTCCAATTTATTCGTGGTGAGAAATGCTTCCTCCTTTGAACTTTCAAAGGCTGCCTACATAATGGGAACGCAGTTTATCTTCCCCGCACTCTAGGCAGAGAGGAGAGTCATACTTTCAGCCTCTTTTGATCCTCAGTGTGAAGGGAGGCAGCATGGTTAATTTTGAAACATGAAGAGGATCTCTTGAAAGGGGCCTGTGGGCTGCATCTGTAAAGCAGAATTTTTGCCTGTGTACTGTCAATGTGTGAGCTTATATATCTCTGGAGCTGTTTTAGGACAAAACCCAAACCATCTGAAGTAGTCGCCATTGGGTCTGTGTAGCTTTAGAAACAGCAGCATAAAATCAGCCTTCTTGATTTCTTTGACTTAATTCCCTTTCCTTTGCTGACTTCCCTTATGCTAATGGCTGCTTTCTGTCCCTTTTAAAGTAAGGCATGCAGAATTGCAGGGCTGTTTGAGGGCTGCTCTTTTCATGGTTTGAAAATCACACGCCGAGCAGCAGCTGGCGGTAGCAGCCGAGCTATGGCTCTGGAGCTGGGGCCAGGGTTTAAGACGTGGCCAGTAACGCGTGTGCTGGTGGCTCTTATGGGTAGAGACAGCAGCAGCCAACCAAGCTGGAGCTTAACCTCAGCCCCTGACCTACGCTTGTGTCTCTATCACCTCCAGATGAAAGAACAGAAGCGACTTTATTTGCTTCTCTTCAACTATAATAAAAACATAGCAACCATACCACAGTTAACTTGAGTTGTGGCATTTTTACTTGTTGCATTAACAGCAGCAGCCCAAGGCATTGCAAAACTCAATCTTGTTTTGTGGGAGGCAGAACAAGGAGCAGTGGATCAGCTCCTTTGGGTTGCAGTGAATTCCTGTGTGGGCTCCTTGACCAGAGAAAATTATAGAAGTCTGGTCCTCCTAGGGGAAGCTTCTCCATGAGAAAAACCTGTGTCCTGCAGTGACTCTGGAGTCCGCTTGGTTTACTTTAAGCTTTAGAGGGCAAGAGTTTACTTCTTTATGTATGTTTAAGGAGATAGTTTTAGCATTTTCCCTAAATTTGTAACGCTTCAAGAATTTCCTGCTGTGGGATGTGTGTCACTTAGAGTGGGAGTGGTGAATAGTTGGAAAAAATCCCTGGCCTCACAACATCCAAGGACATGGTGGGGCAAGAAAGGGCAGAGCTGAAGTCCTCCTGGTTAAGGTCAGGAGAAAAGTTCTCTTTTCACCTGAATTGCTGGTGAGTTGCAGACAATTTTGTGGTTAGGGTTTTGTAGTCTATCCTGCCAAAAATCTTCCAGTTCCTGTGAATAACAAGGCTAGGAAGGGAGAAAAGCCAGTGTTTGGGAAACACGGCTATGCAAGATGGTGAGGGGAGGTGGAGTCAGCATCGTGCAGCAGAAGGTAAAACAGGAAAAAAGGGGAGGAAAAATAAAAGCCTGAACATGCTCGTTATCGTGTGTGGTTTGCTGTTGTTGTAACTGCAGCGTAACAGGTACGTAATCTCATCTGACCCTGCTGATTTCCCCTTTTTTTGGCACGTGGTTGACTTCTGTGAACGTGGTCAATGGATGTTTTCTGTGTCAAAGTATTTGCTTGTCCTCTTCCTAGAAACCAATAGTTACCGAACCCCTCTTTATGGGCAGCCCTCCTGGTGGGGAGAAGATGATGCAAATAACAAGGAGGACAGAAGGCAAGAGGAACATTACTCAGGTAATGGAGGTGATTTGGGGTGGCAGAAGATGTGGGGGGGGACACAAGATTTCTGCACACTTTTGATCTTTATTGTGTGAAGTCATCCTGCCTCAGGACTTTAATTACCACTGCTTTTGTGCTCGTATTTGCACGTTCTTATGTGTAGGTTGCTGCTGCCGAAACCAGGATAAGGGAAAATTGAAATGATTCCCCTAAAATACTCGAACATTAGAAACAGCAGTTGTGGACTAATTCAGTACAGACAAGGAAGGTCTCACTAAGCTCATTTGAGACCTAGTTATACAGCAGTGCTGTATCTGTGATTGTATGCAGCCTGCCTGAGCAAACCATCCACTGAGTCTTCCAGCAGTTTCCTATCTAAGAGGCACTTCAGAGCTGATGCATTGACTGGGCTGGATTTGATTGATACGGAAGCAATCCGTTTCTCACCTCTTTACCCTTGGAAGCCAGTTAGTCTTACCACTCCTGTTGCTGTGAATCTGTATGCATGGAAGATACATCTTTTTTTCCACTTGTGCAGTAAACCTGGTGTTTCTGTCAAGCATACGCTTCGCTGCACAAAGCAGCATTGTGTTTTGATGCACATGCAGCCTAACTGCTCTCTAACAGAGAGGGGTTGTGATTAGCAGCCCTACCAAGAAGTTGAAATAAAGAAGCGACCCTCTGGGTACTACTGGAAAGATGTGGGTTTGTCCCTGCTGATGTTACGGAATTAGGAGTTGATCCAGCAAAAACATGCCTGTGATCAGCTTTGCACGCTCAAGCTTTTCCTTTGAACTGCAGAAAGTTGAGTGGGTGCGCATGTGAGTGAATTCAACAGAGTGAAACAGCATCTTCCTTCCACATCAGCCCTGGTGTACAGAAACCCTACATTTCACCAACCACGTAGGTTCTGCCAAAACATAACTCTGTGTGTGTGTGTGTTCAGCTCTCTCTTTGGGCAGCAGTGGGAGAAAGGACATAGTGAGTATAACAACCGTTGGTCAGATTGCAGCAGTGCAGTAAGCAGTCATTTCAGTGGTAAGGCCAGAGTACAAAGCTATCTGAAACAGAACTGGTATTTTTTCTTTAATCCATTTCAGCTAATGTTTGTGAATTTAAGGTTTTCTTGCCTTTTTTTTCCCCCCCTGTTGTAGAAAGATCAAAAGAGATAACGCAACATGAAGAGGAACTGAATGGTAATATTTCTGCTTATAGAGATACACAAGAACAGTCTGTGTTTCCCTTCCGGAGAGAGCCAAGTTATTTTGAGATTCCAACTAAAGAATTTCAGCAGCCGTCAAAATCTCCAGAAACACAGGTCCACGAGATCCCAACAAAGGACATCGATGCTGTAGTGGCCCCCGTCGTACAGAGTCATGCTTCTTTCACCATTGAGTTTGATGATGGTACCCCTGGTAAAATAAAGATAAAAGACCACGTAACTAAATTTTCGCTCAGACAGAGAAGACCGTATAGTAAGGAACCAGCTCATACAGAAGTGATGTCAGCAGAGAGCAAAGTGGCTGACTGGCTTGTCCAGAACGACCCAAGCCTGCTGAGATGTCAGTCTCCAGGAGAGGATGTGTACAGTACAAAGAGCGACCTGCCGGTGCACGTGAGGACGCTTAAAGGTGAGTGAACGTCTCGTCATATGGACATAGTTCTCTGTTGGCTGTGCAAATCCAGCATAATAAAAGGGGAAAAACTCTCCTGTCAAGGAGAACTGGACTTAATTATCCGCTGCAAATTTGCCACATGAAGAATATTTCATGAGTGACTGTTAATAGTTTCGAGTCTGGCTTGCAGACTCTTCACCTGGCCTTGAAGTCACGTGTGAAGTTGGCCTGGGGACAGTCCAGTCTGCTTGGCAGTAACAGGGATTGAAAAAAGGATTTTTGTTTTTAAATGTCTAAAATAATTTCCATGTGGTCAGGCAGATATTTCAGTGGATTTTCTTTTCTTGGCTTCTCCTAGGCAAAAGAATGACCTTTGAGCTGTAGTCCAGAACAGGCTAAGCATGGTCATCCTGATGGCTGGAATGACCAGAGCCTCTTGGTCAGACGACCAGAGGTCGTGACACAGAGACTGCTGATAGAGTTGAGATCTACATAATCACCCGTGGAGGGAACTGTTGTGCTTGTAGAACAAGATTTCTTTGCTTAAACTAAAGTTTCTCTGAAATCCTGCTCTGTTCAAGAGCTTCATGTTTTGTGGACCTGAGTCCTTTTAAGTGCATCACTGCGAGGAATTCTTTGGGGCTTTCCAAAGGTCTGAAGTGTAGTTTGGAGCTCAGTTCTTAGTGCAGCTGATGGGACACACATGCTTCTCACGTGACTTGGAATATATTTTGCAAAACTTGGGTTTTGAGGTTTGGATGTGGTTTTTTTTGTTGTTGTGATACTGGATTTTGTTGATTTGCTGGAGAACGTTGCCAGGAATACAAATGTGCTTCAGTAGTAGTTTTCTTCTTTCCTCTTGGAGAAAACTGGGGAGTTAGGCAGCTGCTGCTCATCCCAGGGTTTTCCTGAGTGATGCACAGGAACACCAGACTGACTGCACTCGCCTCTTTATGGTCCATAAGGCATGGAAAGAAGTTGAGGTAATTTAGTGCATAATTTGCATATCCAGAAATCAACTCTTTGGACATTTGATTAAAACATGTAGTGTTGGTGGCCTGAGGAGTTTATCCACCTCTGCTTTGGCAGAGGGCAGGCTGTCCTTTCTCTGCCATAGCGGAGTAACGTGTTCCTCTGACAGGGCTCATTTTGAAGATGTCTTGGAGGCTCCTGCTGGCTGCCTACCAGGTTTGCTCTTCAGGATCAGAGATGCCCGCTGTCGGGGTTCATTAGTAACAGTCGTTCACTTTCAGGAACAATGTGGTGGTCATAAAACGTGGTATCGAGAGCAGAGGGTTCAGGCTTTAGCAGCTTGAAGGGATGTGCGTGGTGTTCTACTGGGGCATCCATGGGCACGGTGGATGTTCTTCCTCGTATCCTTGCTGTTTTGCATTCAACAGAGCTCCTAGCCAAGACCCTTTAATTTAAGAACTTTCCCTTCTAAGGACTAAGCTCATCAGCTCTTGGGCACAATGCAAAGTTTGCTGGCTTCCTTCACTGAAAGCGTTAGGAGACTCCTCAGAGGACTGGCTCCTGGGTTGAACGGGTCTTGTATTAAATTCTAATCTTTCACAGCTAACTCGAGGTAATAAATGGTCTTCACTCATGTGTCTGGAGAACTTGCAGAGTAGGTTTGAGCAGTTTTCCTTTCAAACACGTGGTATTTTAGCCAGTATATTTTGCTGCATATTACAGTCTAGAGCGCAGAGACCTCTTTCCCCATTCTCCCAATGACAGGTTCCTGGTCGTTGACTGAATCGTGTTCTGTGCCTTCACACCCGTTTCCTTCTCCAAAAACAGGTTTGTTTTTTGGTTTACTTTTAACTTCTCCTTTAACTCACTTTCTGAGAGTCCTGAAGTAAGGTGCTGAGGGGCAGAGCATCACTGATACAAAGAGAAGGTTGTAAAGGTGGTTGTCGCTAACATAAGAGGATTATGGCTTATTTAAGCACAGAGAATGCTAAATAATGATTTAACCTTTGCTTGGCTGGTGATGGGATGGTGTAACTCATGGGGGTGTCACGATGTGGTTCTTAAATCTTCAGGAAAGGTAAAGAATCCTGCAAATCCACTTTTCTGTGAGCCTCTTGTTTGATTCCCCCTTGTAGAGTGGGGTAACGTGGATGCTCGGAGGCGCACGCACTCATGATGCTCTGATCTGGGCTTTCATTGTGAGGATTTGGTTTCATGGGTTGCAGCACGTGGGATTTATTTACTGATCCTGCAGAGAAGTTTCAGCTCTGTAACAGAGAGAACCTAACGAGGTGATTCTGGACTGCAGTAATTGGGCAGGACAGCAAAATAATGTCATCGTTTTTATTTATAATGGGGAAAAAAAGAAAGAAGGAAACAAACCATTAGGTATCTAAACCAATCAGTGTTACAAAATCAGAAGCCCTTGGGATTGAAATAATTTCTTGAATTGATTTTTAATAACTGTAGCCAACCAGTTGTGAAAAGTGGGGTCAGGAGACAGCTGCCTTCTCTTTAATGTCCTCTGATGTGATGCAGTCCCTGTACCACAGCAGATGTCTTTTGAGTTGTTCCATCCCATAGGATTTTTTTTCTTTTAACTGACAAGATAAATATCAACTGGGAGGGCCACAGCAACGGAGAATATGAAAGTCAAAGCTCCATCCCTTGATTTCAGGCAACAGGCATGAGGACGGGACGCAGAGCGACTCCGAAGACCCTGTGGCGCCCAAGGTGGAGAAGGAGGGGACGACGGGCAGCGAACGCGCCGCGGAGCAAACCAGGCTGCAGCGCCAGATGAGGCGTGATCCCCACGAGATGCTGCACAACAAGCAGGCCTTCGTCATCGAGTTCTTCGAGGACATGCCGCGGAAGAAGCGGTCGCAGTCCTTCACGCACAGCGCTCACTCCTCCCAGAGCGACACCGATCTGGGCCTGAAGACCAAAGTTGAAAAGCGCAAGAACGCGCCGCCGGCTGAGAAGGTGGGAAATGCGGTGCCACCATCCCACCTCGGGGCCCAGGCGGGCAAACCCAGTAATAACAGCTCCTCTGGGACCCAAAGAACTGGCTCCTTCAAGAGGGAGAAGACGGAGGATCGGATGAGCTCTTCGACCTCCTCTTCTTCCAGAGCGTCGGCCAAAACTTACGGGAGCGTTGGGAGGAAGTCTAAAATGGCTCAGGATATTATGGCTGAGTACTTGCGGGAGACTGCTCAGTCTGGGAAGCCAAGCACAGAGAAACCTGCCCCTCTGCCTGGGCCAGTAGCTCCACGTGTGGTTATAACATCAGAACCAGAGCCTGCCCCTGCTCCACCTCCGGAGGTAAAGTCTGCGCAGGGCAGGAGGAATGATGAGGAAGACAGCGTGAGCGAGACGGGCACGTACACCATTGAGACAGAGTCGCAGGATAAAGAGGTGGAGGAAGCACGAAAAATGATAGACCAGGTAAATGCTGCGTTTCTGTGTTTGGCCAGCGAGCTGAGGGCGAAAAGTTTGGGCTTCTGCACCTTGTGCCGGAGGGCCTCACTTCATTAGCTGTTGCCATGAAGGACTGCTCCCTTTCAATTGGATGCAGCAGGGTTTTATGGTTAGGGGTGGGAAATCATCCTGGGTGACCTGTGGTAAGGACAAGCATTGAAAAAACTGAGTCTAGTCTTAAAACAAAAAAAACCCCAAAACAACAAAATTGCAAACAAACAAAATACTCCTAGAGTGCAAGAAGGCAAGGTAAGCCCACAGCAAGGAGCTACCTTGCTTCCAAAATGGGATTTGGATGCAAAAATGCAAGAGCGGGCTTGCCATCTGTTTAGAGGAAAGGCAACAGCAGATGAAAGATCAGGCTGACCCTGCCGAGAGCTGTGACTGGGAGCAGCTTTGCTCTCTGGGACTGCTCCCAGTCCTCTGCCTTGGCCTTGCATCACCTCCTGTCTGCTGTTCTGAGGATGAGAGGATGAGAGCTGCAGCCTATCACTGATGCAGCATCCTGTGGTAGGAAAAAGGAGATGCAGGCCAAGGGCTGGTGCCCTTGATCCTTCATAAGGCTTAGTGGTGGGTGGTTCTGAATTTGGCTGTGCCTGGTTAGAGAGGCAGTGCTTGCTGGCAGGGCAAGTGGCAGCTGGTTGAGATAGCGAAAGGTGTGGTCTAGGATAGAGGCAATCCCAGGTGGATCTATACCCGTTTGGATTTTGCAAAGTGAGCGATAGGCTAAAAACAAAACCCCAGAGATCAGGGAGAGGCTTAGAAAACCCCACCCAACTAAGCCACTGCAGGGCAAACCAGAGTTTGGCTGATTTTTCAGGTTTAGCTTTCATCTGCCGTCTGTTATGAAAACAAAACTGGCAACTTGCTCTGAAGAGTTAGTGAGGTGTAGGCAGGAGGATGGTAGGGTTTAAAGGAAGCCTTAATTGAACCTGGCTTCAGAGCTTTGTATGAAGTGTTCGGTGAGCCTAGACCTAGCCTTCCGCACTTGTTTGTTTATTGCACTTGTGCCTTACATTTGGTTTGAAATGTGGCCGGAAGCTTTCAGGGCAGGGTGTTTACAGAATCACACAGAATCACAGAACGTTAGGGATTGGAAGGGACCTCCAAAGCTCATCCAGCCCAATCCCCCTGCCGGAGCAGGAACACCCAGATGAGGTTACACAGGAAGGCGTCCAGGCGGGTTTTGAATGTCTGCAGAGAAGGAGACTCCACAGCCTCTCTGGGCAGCCTGGGCCAGGGCTCTGTCACCCTCACTGAGAAGAAGTTTCTTCTCCAATTGAAGTGGAACCTCCTGTGTTCCAGTTTGTGTCCGTTACCCCTTGTCCTATCATTGTTTGTCACCGAGAAGAGCCTGGCTCCATCCTCGTGACACTCACCCTTTAAATATTTATAAACGTGAATGAGGTCTCCCCTCAGTCTCCTCTTCTGCAAACTAAAGAGCCCCAGCTCCCTCAGCCGCTCCTCATCAGGGAGATGCTCCACTCCCTCCATCATCTTTGTAGCCCTACGCTGGACTCTCTCCAGCAGTTCCTGTCCTTCTTGACCTGAGGGCCCAGAACTGGACACAATATTCCAGATGCGGTCTCACCAGGGCAGAGTAGAGGGGCAGGAGAACCTCTCTGCCCTACAACCACCCCTCCTGATACACCCCAGGATGGCGTTGGCCTTCTTGGCCACAAGGGCACAGTGCTGGCTCATGGTCATCCTGCTGTTTAAGCCACAGCAAGACCCTAGTCCTGACATGAGATGGTTAATTGTTCTGGTGGGGAAATATGAGGAAAAATGGCACAATAATACATTTATTTCTGGGAAGTAGTCTTTGCAGACATGACTCCAGCAGGCAAGCTGGCCACATTCTGCTCCTGACTCTGCCATAGACTTGGTGCAGGGCAGACCTGCCACTGGGGAAACAGCCAGTAATAACCAGGCCTCAGTATTTCTGTCCCAGAAGAAACATGATACGAATCTCGGACTTGCTGAGGTTTTGAAATGGCTGCTTTTTGTGTTGTGCTCCCTCCTCCCCCCGCCTCCTTTTTTATAAATAGAAATGGAAGTGGAGTACTTTAAGGCTATCTCAGCCCAGCCTAGGTACCATTCGTGGTGGCACCGTCCTCTGACCTCCTTGTAGTCAGGCAAGAGAAACGAGCCCTTTGGAGGCGTGGATCTTGGTCACCCCCCTGGGAAAGCCTGTTTGTGTCCAGAGGGAATGTGGCCAGCCAGCTCCAGCACTCGCCCCTTCTGAGGTGCATCCTTTCCCAGGTCCTCACGCCTGCTTTGCTCAGCCCGTGTACTGCTACAGTCTATGAAAGACCCTGGAGATGGAGCTTTCCCAGCTTTTTCTAATCCTCTGTGAATTAGCTGGTTAAATAGCTTTTGTGATGCTCATCCTAAATGTCTCAAGGCTGAAAAGGGGACTCCCTTTCAGTGAAAGTTACTGCCTTAGTTAAAAGCAACACAGCAAAACAATGAGGGTGAGAGGAAAGGTGGGTGTGAGCGGGATTCTATGAATGAGTGTATTTAAAGATTTAAAGCTGCTACTGTGGAGTAGAGAAGAAAATGATTTACTTAGTGTGTATGGAAGTGTTGGCAAGTATTTCTAGCCTTTTGGGATCATAGTTTGTGTGTGACTAGTGCTTTGGATTTGGATTTTGGGCTAATATCTTTCTGTTGGATTTTTAATCTTTCCTGTGCAAACCCCTTTCCAGGTTTTTGGTGTCCTTGAGTCGCCTGAATTTTCCAGAATATCTTCATCCTTTAGACCAGTAATTAAAGGTGAAAAAGATGACTCCAGTTCTCACCAGCATCTAATCAGTGAAAACGGCACTAGTCAGAAGTCACCTTTGCTCCAGGCGTTTGCCTCAAAAGCTGTGAGTGGGTCTCAGGCTGATGTGCAGGTACGGGCAGTGCAGGCGTCTTGCTGGGGTGGTGGAGGTGTTAGATGGGTTTTCTGTCTGTACGGAAATGTGACGCGTAGATTGATTTCCATTTTGAGGAGACTGAGTGATGTGTGCGTGAGAGGTGAGGTTTTGTGGCTAGGTTTGGTTTACAACCCCTCTTTCTGACCCTGTCTTCCCCGCTTTGTTGTAGATGTCTGCAGCAGCTCAGGGGAGTCAGAAGTGGGTCTCCAGGTGGGCGAGCCTCGCAGACAGTTACTCTGACTCTGGATCTGCCTCTGGGCAGGGTGACGGAGGTGCAGGTAAGTCTTATCCTGACATTGCTCTATCTAAGCTCGTAATGACATGAAAAGCAGAGATTAAGGGCTTCTGTGCATCTGGTTTTGGCTTCTTTTCTATTTTAGCTAATGTATCTGGGGATGAGAAGTACAGAGTGAATTGTTCCCAATGGAGTAAAGATGGAGTGAGCCTCTGGTTTGCATTTCAGTCATCCAGAAAGTTCTTAAATGTTACATTTGACATGACTAAAGGGCACATGGGAAGGAGAAAGATTATAAGGGCCTTGGGAGTTAACTAGCCCTAAGTAATGATTATTTTAGACTGCCTTATGATGCCAGATGAAAGCCCTTTGCAAGTTGCTTTGGACTTAATTGCTGACTTGTGCTTTTTTCTCGTGTGCTTCTCCTGTGTCTGGCTCTGCTGAGGATTTTAGGCTACTCTGGCATCTGCTGTCAGGTGGTGGGTTTGAAGTGTGGAGATTAGCGTAGAAAACTGGATATGGAGGGGAGGAGGGGAGTGGGAGGAGATCAGGCTCCCATTGTACGTGGGAAGACAGTTTACAGACCCCCACATCCTGTGGGTATGTGAGAAATGGAGCTTAGTTGGCTTTTGGAAATGTTTGCACCCTTTCTTGGTTGGAAATGCCATGACCTTCATACCATCAACAGCTGTAGATAGACGCAGTAAAGATTAGAATAAACCTTTGTTTTGGAGGTCACTGCCACTGTTTTCAGGCTCCTGGACTGTTTGTAATATTACCATGGCCAAATAACCAGTTATCCTGGTGTTTAAAGGCAGCATTTCCTGTGTGACCTGGTTTGGGTGATCCTGCTCTGGCAGGGGAGTTGTGCTGGATGATTTTTCGAGGTCCCTTCCAACTCCTAATATTCTGTGATTCTGTATCAGACGTGAAGTCTTGGCCAGCAGCATGGGAGAAATAAAAGTGCTTTTACTATGAAGTGTGTCCATACTGATGATCCCACGATCGTCGCTGGGGTGATGAGCTCTAATTCAGAGCCTTTTAATTGTTACAAGGTCTTTCTCCTGAGACTTTGCTGTGGGACGTGATAGTGTGAGGACTTGTACTGTGGAAAACACCACCTGTTTAGTCAAATGGGCTGTGTTGTAGAATGGCAAACGCTGCATCACTGCAGTGGTTTATCTGATGCATTTTCATTTCATTCTTGTGGCCTGATTTATGGCAGATAGATGCCAGCAGTGCCATTAGCCTCTGAAGTATGTGCTTGCACTGAGAGGTATGTTATGGGAGAATGAATCTGAAATCCTACCTTGAGAGAGGGAAGGTGTTAAGCACTCTGATCCAGCAAAGGAATTAAGTGTGGTGTCTGTATTGATAAACCTGAGGAAGCGAGCACCAGCCAGGCCCTACTGATGTTCATGTTACATAAAAGCTCAGTTCTAAGCTGTCTCCGTTTAGGGCTCAGGGAGCAGGATTTTCTCTCTGTTGTCCCCCATCCTCCCAGGGGAGGATTAAAAAAAAAAGGGAATAGAGAAAAAGATGCTTTGCACAGGGTCAGAAGTTAAGACTGTAACAAGTTGGCCAGAAAAGCCAA